CCCGGTGCTCGGCCATCGGCCGGGGGGCTCCCGTGCCCGTTAACAAACCCTGACGAGGGTAAGGAGGATGCGGTTCTCCCTGGCTCCGATATAAGGATCCGGGGAGCCGCTCCTCCGTATATCTGGTGCGTTAAGCAATAATAAATAATAGAGGGAAGAACCTGGTCTCTTTTTGAGTCCAGGCGGTGTTAGGTGGAGGCCCGGTCCCCGTTGTTTTGAGCTCTGGGCTCAACTCAGCAGTGACCGGGCGTAGTGTGGAGTGAGGACCTCCCTTTTGTCTCGCGTTTTGAGACAATAGGGAGGTCAAAATTACTATCATGGGGTCAAGTCCGCTTCGGCGTTTGACTTGAGGCCGAGAGGGGTTTCCCCTCATTGCACTCGGCCTGCAGACGGCGGGGAAGGGGCTGTGTTCCCCCTCCCCCCAATCGTGGAGGAGCTTTGCTCCTCCATTTAAAGGTATAGGGGGGCGAAAGTCCCCATGCCTATCGGGCTGCCTCTGGGTTGTTCTAAATTGAGGTACCGGGGCAGCCCAAAAAAGGCGGAAGGTGGACACCGCAGGGGTTTTAGTAGGTATTCCCCATCGGGGTGCGCTCTGGTGGGGTGAGTCCCACACTACTCTGGCCCACACTTAGTCTGGGTCAGAGTGTGCGTAAATGCATTTCCCCTGCGTAAATAAAAAAAAAAGGTTTTAGAATATTGAAAATATTAACATATAGAAAGGATATTATTAATATTCATTTTTATATAGTTTTGGTTTGTAAATTACGAAAACAATCTACATTTTANATATACATAATCTTGAAGTATTAAATTATATTATACAAAGTCATTAATTATTTTCCCGAGAGAAAATAGAAACATATGATTATATAATTTTATATATAAGTGATCAGATTGCGTCAAATTTCGGATCAGATTTTACATGATCACATACATTTAGATTCAAAACTTGGCGATTTGATCACTTATATATAATTTTATATGATCATATATAAGTTTCTATTTTTTCTCAAAATAGTATATTTATATAATATGGTATATCAATTAAATACTTTAAGATTATGCATTTATAAAATGTCTTTTCATAATTTACCAAATAAAAATGAACACTAATAATATCCTTCAAATATTACATGTTTTCAATATTTTAAAACCTTAATTTATCACAATTAATAATAATAATATTAATAATTAATAATATGTAATGCATATTTTGAGGTATTATTATTGAGGTTTTATTGTTATCAAAAATATATGTACTTTTTCAAAGACTCTAAATATTGAAAACGCACTTCACGCTGTCATACGCAACAAGCGCGCTACGTGAACGTGCCTCGTGTCTTGCCTTAGCCCGGCGTAGTAAAAAGGAGACGGAACATAGTATGTCTGCACTTTTCCACGAGCGTACGCAAACGGCGGTTCTCGCTTATGTGCGTATTCCCACCATTTCGGGACTCTCGGTGCTGGCCGGTTCGAGCTGTACGATGGAAGATCGGTAACGCGAGACACAGCGCGATTAGGCCGTCTCACTTTAAAAGAAGGACGGACTAACTCGACCACTAGAGGGCGCCACTTTCCGGGTAGAGACTCCAGTACTGACTTCGGATCTCGCTCCAGTACCCTCTTAATCGCCGAGATATCTATCGCCTCACACTCTAAGATCCTGTGGTGTACAGGCCATCCTGCGGACATCTTAGCGACTTTCTCAACGAGTTTACTGACTTGTCTGTACTCTATAAGCACAGCATTATCTTTGGTGATTTTAACGCAGACATGTGCTCTAATTCATTTGAGTCAGAGCAGATTCGCTCTTACATAAGTATGTACAATCTTTGTCTTGTTCCGTTTTCTCCTACTCACCATACACAAATTTCTTCTAAGTTCTTGGATTTATGTCTTATTGATAGTGTAGATAAGCTCGTTTTTTTAGCGTGATGTCTGTTTCTTGTCCTCACACGATTTAATTGAAATTAACTACAACATCACTATCGAGAGGATACAAAGAAGGACCATCACCATTAGAGATTTCAGCTTCTGTGATGTAAATAAATTTTTATGTAATCTCTCAAATCGTGATTGGAATCGTCTTCTGAGTACCTATGATATTGACTTCAAGGTCAGTTTACTCAATCAATATCTTCTGGCTTGCTTAGACAATAATGCGCTTCTAAAAATCATACAACCTAAGCACGTGCCTGCGCCATGGCTGACTGTTGATATAAAGGCACGAATTTCTGAGAGAGATAGAGCTCGTAGAAGATGGAGAAGGGGTAAAAGCGAAGTAAATTGTGCGCAATATAAGGTCCTAAGAAATGAAGTTCAGATCGTTCGTAGAGCTAAAGAAGAATACAACTTAGCAACTTTTTCTAAACTCAAGAACCCAGAGTTTGGGTCCTTGAGTTTAGAAAAAGTTTCTTGGAAAGAACTTAGGAAACTTGGCCTTGTAAAAACTAAGTCTGAATTTACGCTTCCTTTCACTACCAATGAATTAAATCATTATTTTTCTGATTGCTCATCCTTGTCTACAGTTGATGATGAAGCTAGCAGCGTGAATATCGGTGAATCTTTTTTGACGACAGCAAACTATATTGGAAAAATCTTGACGCTTTGGATGTCATCAACGCTTTAAATAGGAACAAATCTAATGCCGTTAGCAAAGATTGTTTGTCTCTTAGATTGATTATTACTGCTCTACCTTGCATTCTTCTCATTATCATGCACATATTCAACTTTAGTTTAAACCACAGCATTTTTCCTACAGTCTGGAAATCTGCAATAGTCTGCTCTGTGCCGAAAACCAAGAACTCGTCTGAACTGCGACACTTTCGATCTATTTCCATCCTATGCGTCATTTCCAAGGCGCTTGAATGTATAGTTGCAACTCAGATGACTGAATTCCTGGAGAGATCTAATAGCTTAGATCCGTTTCAAAATGCATACTGGCGAGGTTATTCAACGCAAACTGCCTTGATTAGAGTTATGGACGACATCCGGCTTGCTGCAGATAAAAGAGAGATCATAGTCTCAGCGTTCTTCGATTTTTCGAAAGCCATTGACTGTGTCAATCATAAACTGTTAATAAATAAACTCCGCAACAAAAACTTCTCTGCTTCTACCTTAAATTGGTTCTACTCGTATCCTGATAACAGAGTGCAATTGGTACGTGATCCTGCTACTTTCTCTTGTTCTGAAAAATTATTGGTGACTGCCGGAGTTCCAAAAATCTGTGCTTGGTCCATTACTGTTCACTCTTTACGTATCTGACTTTGGTGGTGTTCTGAAGCATTGTAAGTATAGTTACTACGCAGATGACCTGCTCATTTATCTACACTGTGTACCTAGCTACCTAGCTCTATAAACAATGCCATTCGACGCATCAACAAAGATATTTCCAACATTGTTAGGTAGGCATCTGAAAGTAGACTTCTGCTCTTAATTCTAGGAAGACTTCAGCTGTGATTTTCGGATCGGCAAGATACATTAATAGCCTGGACTTAACTAACTCAGCGGGCGTCACTGTTGAAGACAACGTTATTCCTTTTAAAGACTCCGTTGTATATATTGGAGTTACTTTGACCGGCAAACTGTCTTGGGAAAGACATGTAACTTCAATAATATTGCATGTTAACATGTCTTTATATAGACTGAAGTTAAACAAGCAATCTATTCCTCTGGCTCTTCGTATTGGATTGGTCTCCAGCTTAATATGTCCAGGCCCGTATTAACCCTATGGGCACTTCTGGCCTATAGCCAGGGGCCCGAGCAAAATACAGTAGATTCTCGTTATATGACACCCCTCGAAGCTGCAGGAACGGAAAATTTTCGGAAATTGCGCTTTGATTGATGCGGCTCTACTCTGCCGCTAGACCGTTGCGGCAGACTAGAGCCGCCGCTTTGTATAACGTCACGCAGACAGACATGGTAGAGTAACTTGTGTGTGCGTGAAAGTACGCGAATAGTTCGGCCGTCGTTTGATATCCTCTTAAACGCGCGTCACGTGTGACTGAAACGTCTCGTGTGACTGTAGCCTTCTAATGTTTACGTGAAAAAATGGAAAATGCTCGTACTCTTGCGACTCTTGCTGGTTCCAATTCAAAGCCAGCTAGTGGTTATCAGAAACGTAAGAAACAAAAAAAAATAAAAATAAAAAACTCCAAGCAACATTGAAGCATATTCCTACTTTAGATAAATTATTTGTCCGTAAATCCACAAGTGAAAGTGATGGAATCGAGCAGCGTGAATGTGAAATAGAATCTCAACCGATAAATAAATCTGTATCTGCAATAAATGAGGAACCTGAATGTGAAATACAATCTCTCTCAATAAATAATGATAATGATGAAGACAATTCTACTTCTCCCAGAAGTGATCTTAACTTAGATTACTGTTCAGATCTAGCTAAATGAGTCTAATTAGAACTTTACCATTACTTCCAGTACAAGAATTTTTTAAACTGAATATTTCTAACTCAAAAAATGTGTACACAGTCAAGGTTAAAACTAAGAAGAACAATAAAGATATTGATAACGAAAATCAGAAGTGTAAAAGCTTTAATTGATTTATTTCTGAGAATCTGTTTTACACAAAAATGAAGTCAAGCCCTGATCAGCAAGTTTGTCGGGAATGGTTATGTTATTCTGAATCAACTGGCTGTATTTTTTGTGTTCCATGTAAATTGTTTAATAAGCAAGGTCAAAATTTTTTTACAAGTGAATTTAAAGATTGGAAACATCCAGGACATATAAGGGAACATGAAACATCATTCCTGCTTTGTCAAAATACCAAAGTATTGATACTGAGAGAGAATATTTTGGGAAAAATTGACTCTGCATTACATAAACAATATAATGATGAATGTCAAAACTGGAAAAAAGTATTCTATCGTGTATTTGATATTGTAAAATTTTTATCCAGTCGCGGTTTATCATTTCGTGGCACCGATGAAAAATTTGGTTCACTTACAAATGGAAATTATATGGGGCTGTTTGAGTTGCTTGCCGAGTATGACCCATTCTTGAAAGTTCATATTGAAACTAACAGTGATAAAGGAAGAGGATCTGTCAGCTATTTATCAAAAACTACTCTAGATGAATTTTTGGAGTTATTAAGGAAAAATCTTACAAAAAAAATTATAGAAGGGGTGAAACTGAATAAATATTACAGTATAAGTGTTGATTCTACGCCAGATATTCGTAATATTGACCAACTAGTGTTCATTCTTCGATATATGACTGAAGATGCAGATCCAGTAGAACGATTCATCAAATTTATACCAATGTCTAATCATAAGGCTAGTACAATAGAACGAACTGTTATGGGTAAGTTATATCTTTTCAGGTGTACACATATTAAATTAAAATATTTCAAGTTTTAATATCCATTTTTCTCTTTTCAATTCTTAGATACATTATCAGAATTGGACCTTCATATTAATGACTGTAGAAACCAATCTTACGACAACGCAATAAACATGGGAGGTATATATAATAGTTTGCAAGCCAAGATAAAGGATCAAAATAATTTAGCACTATTTATCCCATGTTCTGCCCATTCATTAAATTTTGTTGGTAAGGATGCAGCAAATTGTTGTACTAATGTCACAGCGTTTTTTAAGCTTTTACAAGGCATGTACAAATTTCTTCATTCTTTGACAAAAAGGTGAATAATGATAAAAGAAAATATTGCGAAGAAAACAGATAATTTAGGTACCTGTGAATATAATTTTCATTTTCTCCTATTATTTGTGTTAGAGCGTTTAGGACGTTTCTTATATTTCTTTCTTATTAGGTTCATTTCTTCTAACATCATCTTCAGAGACTCGTTGGTATGCTAGAAGAGATGCTTGTAGAGCACTGGCCAAATCGTATGACTGTTTCTATCAAACCTTTCTACAAATTTCAGAGACTTCTACAGAAAAAGCTGAAGTAATTGCTGAGGCAAAAGGCTACTGCGCACAGTTAAATATGTTAAAGACAAGAATATTTACTCTTCTGGTATGATATTCTTGATCGTTTTTATACCACCAGCTTAATTTTGCAGAACACTTCGACCACTCTATGTGACGTAGTAATTGCATATGAAGCTTTGTATGATTATATTGACACTCTACGCTCTACTTCTCGCTATCTGTATTATGAATCAGAGGCAAGGAAATTTTCTGTGTGCAAAGATTTTCAAGAAAAGAGAAGTAAAAAAAGAAAAATATAGTTTGACGAAAACCAAAGTGTAAGAAAAGTGAAGTTCAATGAAAGCGATAATTTGAGAATTAATACATATTATGTAATTATTGATAAACTTAAGGTAGAATTTCAACAACGAAAAGAGGCATATTTAGAAGTAAATGAATTGTTTGGTTTCTTACACAAACTCAGAATAGATGATGTTAATGTTGTGGAAGAGATTCGAAAGAAAAGTGGAAATTTAATTGAAAAATATGCAGATTTAGAATCTGAATTAATAGAAGAATGCATTCATTTCCAAGAGTTAATTTTAGATATGTCAAAACGCTATACTGAAAATGATCTAGATCAAGCATCATCAACTCCACTTCAATGTTTCAAATTTATTAAATCAAAAAAATTATTGATATCATTGTTTCCCAATTTGGAAACTGCCTTACGTATGTACCTTACAATAATCTCTGCCAATGCTTCAGAGAGGGCAAATTCTATGTTAAAACGAATAAAAACGTATTTAAGAAATAGTATTGGAGAAGATAAATAACGAAGGAATATTATGCGCCAATTCTGACCTTCTGGATAAACTTAATAGAGAGAACATAATTGATCAATTTTCAGCAATAAAAGCCCGGAAAGTTGACGTATAAGATTAACCCATTTGCATCCAAGCGCGGAATAATCCGCGAGCCGCGACTGTCTGCTATCACCAAGCGCGGAAAAATCCGCGAGCCGCGACTGTCTTCTATCACCGAGCGCGGAATAATCCGCGAGCCGCGACTGTCTTCTATCACCGAGCGCGGAATAATCCGCGAGCCTATGACTGTTTTTTTTACCGGTTGCGAAATATTCTTTAGTTGCGACAGACCACGTTTAACCACTTGTGGGAGCGTTTCGGTTCCATTAGTTTAATATACATCAGTGTATTCTAAATAAGTTTTACTTTTTTTGTGAAAATCTTTAAAACTGCCACTATGAGTAAGTGCTGTCAATCTATATTTAAATTCAAGAAATCCAAGTATAGAAAACAATCTTATTTTATAAATTAATCTAAACTTTAGTTGCCCCAATAGATTTTGAGTATCTTGATTCGGATTTAAGTATTGAGGTACGACGTCCTAGAAGACGTAGCCGGAGGATTTCGTCAAGTGATGATAGCAAAAATGAACAGTGCGGCAGTTTTATAAATCAAGAATACGTGTGGAAAGTCGAAAATCATATTCCCATTATATATGGTTTTTCAAGTGCGGGTGGTGCAACCATAAATACACGAGGTCTGTCGAGAAGGGAGGTTTTTGAACTATTTTTTAACAAAGAGTTAATTACGGAAACAAATAAATATGGCGCAAGCGACGCAGAGTTTATACCTCTTGAAAATGACGAATTAAAAGTATTTATTGCTTTAAATATTTTAATGAGTCTAGTTTTTAAGCCCACGATTCAAAGCTATTGGACTACTGATAAAAGTATAGAAACTCCGTATTTTAAGAATATCATGAGCCGTAACCGATTTATTTCTATCTCCAAAAATTTACACTTTTCCAGTACAAATAATCCTAATGACGCACTGATAAAAATTCTAGAAGTTACTCAAATAGTAAAAAAAACTTTCATTCGCATGTATGTCCCAAATAAAAACATTTTCATTGATGAATCATTAATGTCATGTAAAAGTCGTTTGCATTATACTACCATGATAAAAAAATAACCGAAATTTTTAATTTAAACCTTGCGGGCTTATCGGTTTAGAATTCTGTTGTTTGTGTCATGTTGGCAGCACTGTTACGGACACCCATGCCAAGCTTCTGCTTATCAGCTGTTCATTTACCTTTATGACAGTGATTTCTTTACATCAAGTTTTTACGTCGCGGCAATTTTTACAATGGATTCAAAACTTGAACAACGTTCTTGCATTAAATTTTGCTATAAAAATGAAATTAAGTGTTCCGACACATTAAAAATGTTACAAAAGTGTTATGGTGACGATACTCTATCGAAAACACAGGTGTACCAGTGGTATGAACGCTTTAAAAGTGGTCGTGAGGCTGTTGAGAACGATGCTCGTCCTGGGAGGCCATCGACATTGAAAACTGATGAAAACGTCGATGAAATCCGACAATTGTTGATCAAAAATCTTAAATTGACGATAAGGGAGATAGCTGAGACCACCAAACGAACATATCATTCGGATCCGTTCAGAGCATTTTGCGTGAGGATTTGAGTCTGAGGCGAGTCACTGCGAGATTGGTGCCAAAAGAACTGAATTTCGTGCAAAAATTCTCGTGAGTTTCTCGTCAAAAACAACACCAATACCATTCAACAACCGCCCAATTCNCCTGATCTGGCACCATGTGACTTTTTCCTATTTGATCGACTCAAAAAAACCACTCCGAGGAACTCGTTTTGAGAGTGTGGAGGCAATAAAGCTAAAATCGCTGGAGGCACTAATGGCTATACCAAAAACCGACTTCCAGAAAAGCTTCGAGGAGTGGATCAAACGCTGGCACAAGTGCATCGCAGCCGACGGGGACTACTTTGAAGGGGACAACTTGAATTTTGAAAAATAAACATGCACTTTTCTTTTTATGAATAAATTCCGGTTATTTTTTGATCATGGTAGTATACAATTTATTCGAACAAAACGTGCGAGATTTGGTGTCAAGTTTTATAAACTCTGTGATTTACAATCGCGATATATACACAATTTCAATATATATACAGAAAAAGATAAAACTGATACAGGATCTGCTAGCAGAAATGTTGTAATCAATTTGTTGAAAGAGAGTCAATTTTTACACAAGGGGTATTGCTTATTTATTGATAATTAGTACAGTTCACCAACATTATACCGAGAATTATTTGATATGAAAACAAATGTATGTGGAATAGCGAGAATAAATAAGAAAGAAATGCCTCCGGAATTAAAATCACACCAATTGCAAAAGGAAGAAGCTGTTATATTTTGTACAAAAGAGATAGCGGCAATAAAGTGGAAGGATAAGAAAGATGTCGTTATACTAACTACTATGCACGATTTAGATTTTGCTGAAACAGGGAAACGAAACCGATATACTGGACAAAAGAGTTTAAAACCAACCGCAATAATAGATTACAATTAATATATGGGTAGAGTTGATGTTGGCGACCAAATGTTTAGCAAATTTCACACTATGCAAAGATGTAAAAAAGCCTATAAAAAGATATTTTTTTATTTTATTGACATGATGTTGCTGAACAGTTACGTAATTTTTAAAAATTATAAGAAAGATCGAGCGTTTCATGTGTATAAACAGCTATTAGCTGAAGAAATTATTGATAAATATTTAGCCAACATAAATGTAAATAAGGCACCTGTCAATGATTCCATTACGCGATTTACTGGCAGGCATTTTCCTGTACGGATACCTGCAACTCTAGCAAAGGGAAATAGAACATCAAAACGATGCGTTGTATGCTTAAGTAAGTCAATTCGAAGAGAGACAGTCTTTAAATGCCATGTTTGTGATAAAGCACTATGTATTGACCACTTTAAAAAATTCCACAAAAAACAATTTATTTAAATTTTTAGTTTGATTTAAATAATTTTATTTTATGTAGAAAAAAATATTTGTTTTTCCTTTTTTGTAAAAAGAAAATGTAAAATGCGATATTTGCGATGTCACACTGTGTATCAATNGTTTTAAATAGTACATTGTTAATAAACTCCATGAATAATTTGGATGCCCGTTACTGCACATACGATCGACCGCGCGCGGTGATACGAGTCAGTCGGCAGTTGAACNTCGCTGATGTTTCAACGCGGCAGCTTAAGTAGAGCGATGATGCAAATGGGGTAATAAGATAATTATATTTTTGTTTGTTGATTGTTTTTTCTTCATATTTTTAGAGTACTGAAATATGTAATGTTTTTATGTCTCTGTTTTCATATAATTTGTTTCTATTTTTATATAAATTTTACGAAGTGTTTCGTTCTTTATTGACAATTTTGAATTTTCGTTCTTTACAAAATATGTAATAAGATACATATATATATAGATATAAATATGTAATAAGATATATGTAACAAGATATATATATATACATACATACATATATATCTTATTACAAGAATTACACTTATTTTTGCAATACCAAACATTTTTATTTATTATTGTACATTTGTCAACAAAAACATATAAATAGAATAAACCTACAATTAAAATAAATATAGGGGGAAGAATTCAAATGGCTATAATTTAAAAAAAAAATAAGGGGCCCTTGTAAATGTTTGCCCAGGGCCTTCTGAAATCTTAATCCGACCCTGAATATGTCCGATCCTCGACTATTGCAGTCCTGTTTTCTCCGACTTAACTGCTGAACTGGATTTGCGCTTTCAACATGCCTTTAACTCATGTCTCAGATTCATCTTTGACTTAAGAAAGGATGAACATATCACTTCTTTTTTCAAAAAACTCCAGTGGCTCGAAGACATTATTTCATTTGCTGCCTCCTTTACAGCATTCAATCCGAGTGACCTCTGTTCTATTTAATGAATTAGTACTTAGAAACGAGGAATCCTCTCGATGTACTACAGCTGTAGATGATCTAATATCTATACCAATCTGTAGAACAGAAATATTCAAGCAATCTTTTAGATGCAGTTCTGCTGAACTGTGAAATAGTCTACCGACAGACATACGTAGCACAACTAGTTTTGACTATATTCAAAGCCAAATTGTATACTCACTTAACGCAGTATGACTACTATTTTGTTTTTATTTGTTTCTTTTTCTATTTTTGTTATTATTATTAATTTTGACTATTTATTTATTTGCAATCTTGCGTTGATTTTTTGTTATTTATTTTATTTGTGTTCTCTTGCTATCATAATTATTGTTCAACTTTAACTTTTAATTTTTATTATTATTATTCTTATTTTTATTATATTTTTTCTGATTATTAATTAATTTTCTCTGATTATTGTATCTGTAATGTTTGTTGCGCTTTAAGGAATATTACCTCAGAGCGCTATACAAATAAAGCAACATTCATTCATTCATTCATTCATTCATTCATTCATTCATTCATTCTCTCTCTCTCTCTCTCTTCTTTTTTCCTTTTTCTCGATAGAATAAGTAGAATAGTAGTATAGTAAGTAGAGGAATAAATAAAGTAACGCTCACTACAAATCCATAAGTCCTTTATTAAGAAATACTGCATCGCTTCAACAATCGCGAAATAGTAATACGAATATAATATTTAAGCTATGAGAGCTTCGCGACGCAGTCTCCTTTTCGAGTCGTCGACTTTGCTCGAAGCGTTTCTAGAGCGGTTTCCGAAGTTTTGGCATTAGAGTACGAAACATAAACATTTTTGATGTAAAAGTTTAATTATGTTTAAATATAAGTATGGAGATGCATTAATAGGTCGCGTATCCGATATTACGACGCGACCCGGTATAACT